TAGCCCTACTGGGAATCTTGTCTGTTATTACCTCCTATTTACGGATCCTTATTGCCTTTATCATTACACTCCATTGTCCGTCTCCTTATAAGCGGCCTCGTGAGGTTTATTACGTGAATCTTATATATCGAAAATTCTTTATTTATTCGTGATTTTTATTATGACTTTTCTATACTTTTAAAAATAGCAATAAGTTAACATTTATGATATTTATCCTGTCACACGTAAATATATTTTATAACATTAAAAAAAAACAAGGGAAGCCAAATTGCCTGGGATGTTATATCGCAACAATATTCTATACTTATTATTAGAATATATAAGATAAGAAATTTTTAAATAAAATTATAATTTTTAAAGCTAAATATTCGTTTATCTCTTATAATAGGCTCTTCATTTATTGTATATTAAATGCGAATCTATATTAAGATTGAACAATTTCTAATATAGTTTTTCCTTTGGAAAAATGAACAGATTAACGCTAATTTTCTAATATTCTCTTCTCATTTTCTATTTAGAAAATTGTACACGCTTAAAATAATATAAAAAGATGAATCTGTGATAGATTTTTTTAATTAATCTCTGATCAATGATGCGAATAAATCTAAATTTTGTGCTTTGTTTCACTGAATTTTCCTAAACATATTAAAGCTAAACAAAACAAACAGCCGTAAAAAAATTAATTAATCATAATTTTATTACTTTGTAAAAAAAAACAAAATAAAAATATAAAAACTTTTACAATTGGTAACGAAAGTTTCATTTATTCACCACTCATTACACAACTTAAAATTAACAGAAATACTTCGTTTATCTGAGCAAATCTTTACGAGCTTCTTGTCAGAAGAAAGCATTCAACCCTCTTTCATTAAAGCTATGTAAATGAGATGAGACAGAAAGAACCTAGAAAGAAGAAAGAAGAAAAGAAGGGGAGGAAAAAAAAAATATATTCTAACTTTCTTCAATTGTCTCCTGTAAATTCTAGAATTTAGAATAATTTTTTTTTCTCTATCTTAATTTCTTAACAAATTTTTTCCTCTTTTGGATTTCTTTTCTTTGGTATTTGAAAAATATCTCTTGATCTATAAACTACGTTAACAGAAAACAATAGAGTAGTCGGCATGAGGTCTTTTTCGTATCCATTGTCATCCAATCAGGAGTTTTAAAACGGGGGCGTTGATGTCGCCATTTCGGCTGCCAGCAGTATTGTTCGAGTATTTCTGCTGTTGCCTTTGCTTCTCCGGAAATAATCTATCGTAGCCAGATGGCTGATCTGTCAACCTACTACAATGGCCGTTTGCGAGCGCCATCCGCTTAGATCCTTTTTGCAACTATGTTATGTAGAGTATTGAGTGGCATGCGTTATCATTAAGAACGGTAATCTGTTACACACTGGCCCACTTACCTTTGCTTTTTATAGGGAATAACTGCTTAGATCTTTACCATTGCGTGCTCTTATGCTACACATTTTAACATAGAATTACACTATTTGAATAACAGCTTTAAGAATTTCTATTCTTGAATAATATTAGTTTTTCTAAAATTATAAATAATCTGCCTGAGGATAAAAACGTGAGAATATCTTTAATATAATTTTTTGTTTTTTAAATATTAAAGAAACATTCGAAGATGTGATAAATTGCATCACGCTATCACAGCTTGTTAGAATATTCAAAACACTTTAAAGGAAGTTGGTTCGATTCTTGCTAGAGAAATACATTTACCCTTTCTTTAACTAGATTTTATGATTTTGATACACTTCATGTAATGTTTTTTTTTCTTCTTCTTTTAGAATTTCCTTATTGATAATTTATCAAAGATTAAAACGCAACTTAGAAAATTGCTTTTTCTATACGTTTTTTTATCTATTCGTGATCCAAATGATGTATTCAGATCAACAGTTTCGAGCATTAATTGTACGATAATCGCGTAAATTTTAATGAATTGTTGACTTATTAACCGTATAAAATAAACTAAATTTGTTGAAGAAGAAATTAAAATCCGAATGATGTTAATCAAAAGAGAAATTAACAGGAGAATGAAATTTTTCAAGAGAGTTTCATCCAGCTGTAACTGCTCAAGAGGGAATTAACAAAAGAAGAGTAACTGATCAATAAGNAAAGGAAATGTCATCCAATTCTCAACACATCCAGAGGGCAGTTAGTAAAAGTGCCTCTAACTAACTTGGTTTTTCTTTTAAAAAAAATAATAATAAATAAAATAATAATAATAAAAACAAAAACACAATAGAAAGAGAAGAGAGAGAGAGAGAAAGGGAACTCTGCCATCCAATCTATTCCAACATGGAACAATTGGGAAAAAGGAATCAATTCTAACAGAATTTCGTAAACATAAACCAAATTTGATAAGGGAATTGAATATTTTACTAACAATCTCTTGAGAGTTGAATTCTGTCACAGACAATTGCTTGGTCACCCAATCCAGACGTTCCGTTCGACTAGTCCAATGGATTATGGAATCAACATGACAGAAGGAAACAAAATGGGATCCAGGACGCTGTAGAGCTAGAGAAGCGCAGCGCCATGTTATCACCACTTCCCTTCTCACCGGGGGATGTGATGGATCGGAGGAAAAGCGGTGGTCGTCGGAATCACCGTTCCATATCCACTTTGGCCACTTCTAGCGCTAAACTGGTATTCAATCTATCTAGGGAGTTGTCAGTCAGTGTCACCATATCGATATTTTCTCGTTTATGTATTGCTCGTTGAGTAAAATGTATATAACAATTCTTTATACCTGCACCACTTCATTTTCTTTAAACTTCCTGCATACTATAAATGGCTGTGTTTGGACATCACATTTTTTTTTTCGATTTAGCACCCACTAAAGGTTGATTTTTGAAGAGAACGTCAGCATAATACAGTTATGAAAAATCTCACATTTATGGTAAATTTATTTTATGGTCAAATACTTTTCTATTTATGTTACTTATTCGATGAAAGACTGTTTGATAGAGATTAACTTCAATAGCGAATTTTACAATTTGAAAGATAAAAAAAAAAATCGTTCTGAGAATAAAAGAAAATATCTGAAGCGAAACTTAAGTAACTTTTACTCTTGGAAAGCAGTTTATATTCTTAACTGCGAGCCTATGAACGGCAGGGAAAGATAATACGAGTTAGTAGACAACTTCTTTATGTCTTGTAAGAGCAAATAATGCTATAATATCCTGAAAATTCTGAAAAACTCAACGTGTTCATTACTGTAAATTCATTGGAAATCCGGCAAAGAATTAAACTTAATGAAAGAATATTATTTTTTGACATAAAGATCCATTTCTTTAGTGAAGTTTATACATATTTTAAATACGAAATTACAAAGTATAAGATCCTTTTGTTAGCTAGCTTAATACAACATAAAAATAAGAGTTGTTTTCAAAAATTCACATGAATATTATTATTAAGACGGAAGATTTATATTTAGATCGCTTCAAAGACATTGCAAAAAGTATAAAAAGAAAAAAAATGATTAACTAAAGTTCCTAATTGTGTACACAAATAGGAACTCTTCTTTTTTTTTACGGTGTTATCTGACGAAACTATTAATAGAATTATATCCCTTTTAATTTACAAAGTATAAACATTTGCCGTATCAGAATAATTACGGAAAGGGATTTAGTGAATAGTTTATACAGCTGCAAAGTAAAACGAAGCGTAAAGGAAAAATCTATCGGAAGGCCAACCGCGAAATCCCATCATTCTTCACCTGTCTGTCCCTTTACGAGCAGTAGCTTCGTCTATAATTAACAGGCAGGAATTTTAGTGAAACCGCATGCTTGATCGATCTACGTTAGATTAGGTTGATGACTTTCATTATTCTAAGACGTGAATTACTGTAAAATGAAGCTTGCACGAATAAGTATTGATTACATCTATCGAGAGGTATCTATTACTTGGATTCCTGTGGGATTGAGAAATTAAAGTTATCAAATTGTCTTTTACTTAAATGAAAGTGTTTAAAATATCCCTTTTTTTTAGCTTTAACAGATTGATATCCCTTTGAAAATTCGTTTGCAAGAATAAATCTAAAACGTAATCTTATATAAATTCTCTATTATTTTAAATATTAAATTCGAAGTAGTGTTAAACTAAAGCTGTTATCTCGTTACATTTATATAATTTTATAATAACGATTGGTTTATTAATAAATAGAAATAAATAAGGAATTAATTTTAAAAAATGCAAGAAAATTTATCTTCCCAAGTGAAAAGATCATTATTTTATTATTTCCAATTAATTCTTTGCTTCAAAATATTCTAAAAATTAATTCAAGATGTTTATTCAGATTCTAAACAAAATTTTTTACTGATTCTTTATTTATTTGTATTGTTTTTTTCTTTTTTAATTTTGGATTTTGGGGGTATTTNGTAGAAGTTGTAGGATTACAATAGAAAAAAATAATGACCATCTGTTATCATGCTCTTTTTATTTTAACGTGTTATTTTATACTGAAAATGCATTAGAACTTTATACGTTTAAAACTGTGTCAGACCAATTACAGACAATAGAAAATCACCATCTTGTCATTAAACAAGGAAAATTTCCTGTAGTATGACGTCATTTATTCATGATAATAATGTCGATAATTTGATGCCGTAGTATATTCATTATAGCTCTATCTTATACTACAGTATATTACACTGTGACATCATGCTTATTCATCACAACAGTGCTTCTTTTCGTTTTAACGACACGGCACATATTCATAACAATAGCTGTTGTAGTTCCACCGATATGACATCACACAGTGAATATGCTATTATAATGCATATTCATAATCTAAACTGTCTAATTTCTATTTAAGCGTGACTTCACGTGATATTTCTTTAACACAGAATTGTTTTAGAATTTAAAACCGAACGGTTGCGTTTTATAGATAATTGTGACGTCGAGTCTAATTAAAATATTCTTTAACTATTTAATTAATTTCATTTAAAAGCTTACGTAAATGTAGAATAATTATCGTTTTATTCTTTTCAGACGGCCCGGCACTCGTTCGTGTTAACATCTACATCCGTAGTATTAGCGAAATTGATGACGTGCGAATGGTAAGTAAAATGGCTTCTATAGTAATTCATAATGGTTCCTTCCTAAAGCGATACTTTTTTCTTTCTTTCTTTCTTTTTAAACCCTCAAATCTTGGCTTTAAACTACTTTTAAAATCTGATAATTAAACAAAAATTGATATAAAAAAATTTTAAGTTAAAGAAATATACAAGAAATTTTAATATGTTAAACACAAGATGGATACTTGATTTCTACTGGGAGAAGATTTTGATGACTTAGCAAATATTTCTGAATGTCAGCATATTTCAAAATGTCAAGATTTAGTTAAATGCAGATAATTTTATCAGATTTGAATTGCAAAATGTTAAAAAAAAAAAGAACAATAGAATGGTACATCCTACTTTATTACATATTTATATACGTAATTTATTAGTTATATTTAAAGAAATATGATGAAATGAGGGATGGAATTATATTTAATTTATCGAAATTTGTTGTTAACGAATGTTAACCAGTTGATGCAGATGTTGCATTTTAAATGCGTTGTCACCCTTTATCGGTAAAAATTTATTCTAGTGGCGAACATCCCCAACAGGTGTGGCAAAATCGTTACTACCCACTTCCATTCAACAATTCTTTATGTCGTACTTTACAGCTAAAATACGTCTTTTGATGCGATAAACACTTATACGTGGTTCGTTTAACGTTAAAGCTATAACCGAATTTTTGGAACGTCACGTGACTAGAATTTTTACCTTAAACAATATGGACGACATTTATAGGCCACACTCCCTCTGCGGAAGAAGCCGAATTTGAATACTAATGCACGAAAAAAGGCGAAAGAAAATGGCCGTTTCGAACAATTTTAATGCAAAATTCGTAATTTCGAAGTTAATTAAGAGAAAATTCGATTCTTAAGTAATTCTATAATCAATAAAAATAAGTAAAATATTTCGTAATTTTCATTACGAAAAAAAAAAACGTNAAAAATTACTATTTAAAGTATATTTAATATTAAATATATAATTAATGTCATATTATCACAGATTAATAAGTTAAACCAATAAAAATATAAGATAAGCTCATGTAAAACTTATGATATTTATATATAAATTCGAAGAGTTAAGGCTGAAATAATATCTGAAGAATAAAGTTTTATAGGTATTCTAATAATATTATATAGATTTTTATAATATCTATAGAAATAAATATAAATTTATACCGATTAACAGTTTGACAATTAAAAATACAAAAGACGAGAGCAAGTTTAGGAAAAGTTTCAATTCAAATCTTATCATTCTCTTCTTCATTTCTAATTTTAATAAAATAAATCTAATTTTATTAATTAATTCCACATTATTAAATCTTATAGAATTATATCCATAAGTACTTTAATAAATTCGCTATTTAATTTGAATTTAATTCGTTAATAATAATTTTCGTTTTATCATAGAAACTTTTATGTTAAATATGAATCCTATTTCTATTTTATAAAAGTTTTAAAGTGTACAAATACTTTAAAGCACTTATACGAAGTTGTATGGTAAATTTCCTATAGAACTTTAAGTAATTGAGCATCTCGAATGTTCCGGTAAGGATTGCCAGCAGCAAGTTACATTCTCAACCATTGTTAAAGTAAAAGATATTTACCCTCCGGAAAAGATTTGACACTTCTGCTTTGCTGAATAAGCTTTAACTTTGTTTGAAACGTGAAAAACACTATCAACACACGTGCATATATATCTTATAACTACGTTTCCAGTTTTATCTTTTATTCTAATGCATCATCACTTTTTCTTTTTTTCATTTACGTTTCTATTATTTATCAGATAGTGCTGCATATTTCACGGATCTAAACATTTATATTGTATCACATTGTTGATAATTCAAATATTTCAAATTTATCTTCGCCAGGCATTAATAAAATATATTGTTTTATGGAAAAAAGAATACGTTTTCAATCGGTAAATTCGTTACTAAATGATTCTTTAGAAAGAAAATTATTTTTAAAATATTAGAAGAAACGTCATTATTATGATTCTTTAATATAGACAATTAGAATAATTGGGGGTATGTGTTGTGTATGGGGTTATTTTATATAACGTGAAATGGATCATTGTTAGAATTAATTAAAATGTATTCGTAGAAGTTGTAGGATTACAATAGAAAAAAATAATGACCATCTGTTATCATGCTCTTTTTATTTTAACGTGTTATTTTATACTGAAAATGCATTAGAACAGTTTTTTTTTTTTATTTAAAGAATAGATTTGGTCTGACATTATGGCTTTAAAATACTGGATTACATGTGACTAGTCTTAAATTTTACTCATTATAGACAAGAACTGGCTTGTCTAGTTAGCCTTACTATGTAGGCAGTAAGAGTAACTAGAGGGACCGATGGTCTTGGCTCTCCCAAAAAAAAACTAAATAGCCAAAGAAATTTCTGAAATAATAAAAACAGAGTGAAATTTTTTGAAGAGGAACCAGAACTAGGACCGCTTAGATCGCAACGATGGTAAAAAACGGGGCTCTTTTTTTTAATTTTTGGCTCTATTTGATTTGTGAGTACTAAGGAGGCGTTTTTGTACCCATTGTGAGGTAGATCAAGCCCACAACTAGGTGGCTGGATGAAGAGGGAGAGGGCTCGATGTAGCCGCGACAGATCGCCTTTGAAAAATTCCTGAAGTTCTTTGACTACTCGGATTAAATCTTGTGTCCCTCAGAGTGGTAGGCCGCTGCCTTAATCTTCTCTTCCATCAGTCCGTTTTGAAAAATATTCTTGAATTTTTCCTAGTTTAAACTACACTTTAATATAAACGTAACGTGTAAGTATTTGCAAATTATAGTGTTTTAATCATTAGTTATGATACTTTTTACGTTGCAGTTAATTTTATTTTCTGTTATAGTTTTGTTTTACAATAAGTGATTCTGTTAACACTAGTCCATTTCACCCTCAATCTTACTATTTAATGATTAAATGAAGATATATTTTAGACTATATATACATTAAAAAAACGAAATTAAATGTAAAAAATATAAGTTAATTTTAAAAATTTAATTAGTAGAAGTTGGTTTTATTAATATGATTAACATTAACAAAGCTTTAGTAACATTTAAGGAGAGTTATTTTAAATTACGACACACGTACAAGTTTTTGATTACAATTGTGATTTGAATTGAAGTTTTTTTTAATAATATTTTATTTTATATTTAAGTACTAAATTGAAATAAGCAAGAGAATGGTCTTTAATCAAAAATATAATCTAGTAAGTTGATGTTTCGATAAAGATAAATTCATCGAAAGAACAATTTAATGTTTAAGATTATCATAAAAATATAAGTGTGGGATAATAAGTTTGACTTATTTTATGATGATAACTTAAATGTCAAATATATTTTATTGAATGTAGGAATATAGCGTCCAATTGACCTTCCGTGAACAATGGCGAGATGAGAGAATGCAATTTGATGACATGGGCGGTCAAGTACGATACCTAACATTGACCGATCCCGAAAAGATTTGGAAGCCTGATCTATTCTTTTCGAATGAGAAGGAAGGTCATTTCCATAACATCATTATGCCCAATGTGCTATTACGGATATATCCAAACGGTGACGTTTTGTACAGTATCAGGTTAGTTTAATGATGCATAAATTTCAAAAAATAGTAACATCTTACCATTGCTTATATATATATATATATATATAAATAATATTACATGTTATTTATAGAATCTCTCTGGTTCTCTCCTGCCCGATGGACTTGAAGTTTTATCCCTTGGACAAACAAACCTGCTCCATAACAATGGCCAGTTGTGAGTACGAAGTTGTGTAAGACGAAGCTTAAAGTTATAATAATAGGAAAATTTATAAAAAAGAATACGGTCGTACATTATTTTTTTCTAGATGGCTACACAACAGAAGACTTGGTATTCCTCTGGAAGGAGGGAGATCCTGTGCAGGTCACCAAAAATCTCCACCTGCCTCGATTTACACTGGAGAGGTTCCTTACCGATTACTGTACCAGTAGGACAAACACAGGTACTTAGCAATTTCTTCTAATATTTAAATTTTATATAGTATTGAAGCCCATTTTTCAATTAAAAAAATGTATTTTACACTGAATATATTACATCACTCCGGATCTAAAAGTCAGTTTTTTTATATTATTCAATTTTATTTGTTGCAATTATAAAAAATATCACAGCAGAAAAAAGGTTTTCTAAATCATATATTTAGAAGGGCTTCTCTTCTGAACAATTTATCTTCGATGCAGATTTTTAACTGATGAACTGATGATACAATGATCACTTTTTTCCAGGTGAATATAGTTGTCTCAAGGTGGATCTCCTGTTCAAAAGGGAGTTTAGCTACTATTTAATACAGATCTACATACCTTGTTGCATGTTAGTTATTGTGTCATGGGTGTCCTTCTGGCTGGATCAGAACGCCATTCCGGCTCGGGTGTCGTTGGGAGTCACCACCTTGCTTACCATGGCGACACAGACTTCCGGAATAAATGCGTCACTTCCACCAGTATCATACACCAAAGCAATAGATGTCTGGACGGGCGTCTGTTTAACGTTTGTCTTTGGAGCGCTGCTTGAATTTGCGTTAGTAAATTACGCATCTCGCAGCGACGCACATCGACAAAACCAGAAACAACAGAGGAAACAGTGGGAGTTAGAACACGCAGCATTAGAAGCCGATCACTTAGAGGATGGTGGAACAACATTCGCTATGGTGAGTTCTTCTATCACACGTGTATTTATGTATAGTTGAGTCACTTTAAGAATTTGCTTTATTTACTTTTTGCATATAATATTTTAAATCTTCGAGAGATTTATTATAAGCATTGTAAATTAAAGTAAGATCCTAAGATTATAATTCTTTAAAAAAAATCTTTTGAATAATTGTAAAACTTTTTCACCTTTCTAATCTTCTCAAAATAGCATTTTTTAAGTCTCTTTTACTATTATTTTTCGACATATTACACAAATATTTCACTATATTTTTTTAATTTTTAGGGCATTTTAAAATGTTTCATTCTATAAGTTAATTTAAGAAAGAATCAATTTAATTGCATGAATTCTTCCAATACTTTTCAATTACTTCCTTCAAAACTTTGATATTTTATAAATTTTAGAATAAGTAATTAATTATATAAATTTTAATCGAAGGAGTCCATATTTTAGTATGATATAAAGCACTTTGTAACCTGTCAATAAAGAAAATTTAAGCCTGTAACAATTATTGACAATATCTTCAATTACTTGCACTTTACGTGAAGTGGCTCAACTATATCACTTAATTTATCACATTTGATAAATAACTGTGAAAGGATTTTTCACTAAGTTGCCTTGTTTTTCCTCAGAAGCCGTTGGTACATCATCACGGTGATATACATTCAGAGAAGGTGCGACAATGTGAAGTTCATATGCAATCTCCAAAGGTGAACCTGTGTAAAGCATGGCTTTCCAAGTTCCCCTCTCGATCCAAACGGATTGATGTCATATCTCGTATCTTCTTTCCTCTAATGTTTGCCCTGTTCAATCTCGTCTATTGGACAACGTACCTTTTCCGAGAGGATCGGGACCAAGAATAGAATAAAACATACACCAAAAAAACAAAAGAAAAAAATAAACCAGATTAACTACTACTTGTGTATCAAGCTGCTGGATGTATGACGTCATATAACCTCGCCCCCGTCTACTACAGAATTCGAAAATACACTAAACATGGACAGAACCGGAAAATTCCGGATGAAAAACAAAATAGTTAGTGGAACTAAGGAAAAATACAAAGAATCTCCCGTTTTGAACTCCAATGTACAGTTATTGTTTAGAAATTTAGCAAGATTTTCCCCCTTTGTAGGCTTATCAGTACGTCATGCCTTACGTCATGTAAACGTAAAAAAAAAACGAAAGTATATATACAATATATACATATATATCAAAGTGCAAAATCATATTTGCTCATGTTTCTGGAGTAGTTTGCATTGGGAATGATGAAGCTTTGCGCCTTTGTGATCTAATCCGAAAAAATTACATTTGGAATACATCAAATATCTTAAAAAAATCGTTTGATATTCTAGTTTCTTTAGTTGTTATTACAATCGAAGGAGTCCAAAAATGTGCCAAACTGTGCTCAATCATGTTATTCCTTCCTTTTTTATAATTCACTGTGAAACTGTATACAAAAAAAAAGGAAACAAAAATTGGCTAAAGCCGAATCATTCCCAATAGACAAAATTGAGAGTTTCTGAGAAAAACTTTTCCCTCGCCTCATTAAATGCCAAAGGTTAAATGCCAAATTGATATTTTCGATTTACAGCACTAAAAAAAAAACTTAAAAAAAAGAGGGTTGAGTTTTTCTGATTGTGTTTTTGTTTTTATTTTCAAACCATAGAAACTCTACTACTCCAAAAGGGGCTTTGTGTAGTCATGTAGTATAGCATCCTCCGGGCCACAGGAAGGCCTCGATGACGTGGAGGGACACAGGCCATGTTTCCATTCCGATTAATTTTTCTCCTTTCTCTTTTCATTGGCAATACTGAGGAGTTGTGCTCCAACTCATCTTTAACATCATTCTAAGCAGCTGTGCTGATCGTTGTGTGACCCTGTCTCTAAAAAAAATACCTTTAAAAAAATAATAATAATAAAATAATAATAATAATAATAATAATCAAAGATCTGCGTGGGCATCACCGGAAGCTGCTTCTAAGAACCGGAATAGACACTACACGACCCACAATTTAGTATTACTTTTTTCAAGTGAGGTTTCTTGTGTTTTACACTAAAGAATGTGCTACTCATCTGCCTTGCTCATATGAAGAGGTCAAGCGTTTTATTCTGATCGTGTCAGACTTTCCCCCAAATCTTCCCTGAAGTGGAAGGTGGTCATAACTTTATAAATTTATTATTAATTTTCGCGCGCGGGTTTGCTACTATTTGCCACCACCTTAAGAAACCACAGAATATATATATTTGCTTCATTTAATTTCCTATATTTTTTCGGTTCGCTTCTCCAGTAATTACCCCCCCTTCCTTGTCCGTTTTGACAAATGCTGTACATGAAATTCGACGAAATTTCATGTTTTTTTATATACAAAGTAGTCGGCTTCCAACCGATGCGCCTTGTACGTTGTTTATTAAAATAGAAAAATAAATAAAAGAGAAAATAATCCCTCATTTTCGTTGTTTTTTTTGCCGGAAAAAAGGCAAAAAAAATTATCTAATATTTAAAAAAACAACAACAACAACAACAACAACAACATAAGTATATCCCAATTTAAAAAAAAATAAATAAAACAACCTTATTTCTAAGTAGGTAGAGATAGAAAAAAAAATGTTGTTATTTCAAGTTATATACAATATGTAAAAAAATTTCACTAGATAAGAGGTTATTATATATAAATGTGAATGAAAATGTAAAGTTGAGAATAGACAACGTCCCGCTGAAGACAAAAGTTCCCAGAATAGAAGTTTAGAATGGAACGCGATATTGTTAGAATTGAATTTAAAAAAAAAAAATATATATATATTATATTATATGAATANATTATATTATATTATATTATTAATAATAATATTAATAATTGTTAAAATTCGTTTTTTCTTTCGTTAAAAAAATTTTTAAGAATTTATCTAATGTTATTTTTACCTTTTTTAAAAAGGAAAATAAAGGGGGTATACATCAGTGGAGACATTAGCTCTGTGAGATTATATATATACAACAGTTCTGTGATATTTAAGATAAAAAAAAATAAAAAATAATAATAATACCATAACAAAAATTTAGTAAACGCGTATCAGTATACTTTGTCTGCTTGACAATCTACAATGTACAAAGGACAGTAAAGACAGTAAATAAATAAATAAAAAAAAATACAACAATAAAAGTATAATAATTGATTTTCTTCCCGTTCTTCATTCTATTATACATATATACATACATGTAATATAGATTCTTTTAGAAACGAACGGCATTTATTTTTCTCTTTCCAAATTCTTAAAAAAAAAAACGAAGTATTTAGTGGGTTAGTTACGTCATCTTATTAGGCCATTTTACATAAAGGATTGTGGGTTTTTTTTTAGTAGGATCTGTGTGAAGATCCTTAGATATGATTAGAAGGCATAAGAATCGGGCCACTAGTTCTATGCAATACATAATCCGTCGTATAAATGCAAGCGGTTGCCCTACAACTGTTTTTTATTATAGATGATATACATTTTCCATGTTATCCCTGTATAGTCGTTTATGTACACTGCGCATCGTGTTTGAAGCAGGACTGCTCGCTTGTTTAAAGAAAAGTTTATATGTATTCATATTCTAAAAAAGCAAAAAATTATATAAATATATAAATATATATATATATATATATATAAACCTCTGCAAATAATTCAGTTTCCGGTTCTGTTGGGATGGCATTCCCGGTATGATTAATGGCGACCTGCATCGCTACGCCGCGCGATTATCAGCCGAAAATAATGGATTGTCGATCCTGCCGCCTTTACCTGATACAAACGGATCGCCAGTGGTAGTCCGTCTATCCGTCACACTTCGCGACATTATCACGAGTTAGGTAATGTCCGCAGGTCACGTATCCATATTTAAATCGGCAAAAAAAAATATATTATATATAAAAAAATATAAAAAAAAATACAAAACTTTTCTCTTCTACGACTATCTCTATCTCTTTTCTCTCTCTATCTCTATCTCTCTTTCGAATTTCTTTCTAGTGTTAGGTATGTCCGATATGTGTTAAAGTCATCATTCGTGTGGCGCGAGTATTATGCGGAATTGTGGGCCATCATGATCACTGGCGATTCATAGACTTGTTAACCATTATCGGACACTCGTTGCATATGTATGTGCTAGCTTTTACTCTCCCTGTGACACACCGTGGTGTATATGTGTGTGTCACGTGTGTCTCGCTTGTGTCGTCTTAGACTAGACACACGTGTCACAGATGGAACTTGCAGTTCTGGATTCGGGTACCAGAACACAAGTTCCCCACCTTCGCTCGATTTATCCCTCATATATAAAAAAGAAAAAAATAAGTCAATTGTAGTCTCATGGTGACGAAATATCACATTTTTTTTTCTTTTTTTGAAACACGAAGCTCAAACTTGCGTAAGAACGGCAAGTGTGTTTAAAAATTACGCTCAAAGTTTCTTAAAAAAATAAACAGTTGCTATTTCGTCGCTCATGATCCGTCTCGTCTCTGTAAACATCACTCAACCGATATACGTATTGTGAATAATGAAAATAAACCTCTCTGTATTATAACCCTTTCAAAACCAAAAAAAAAGAAGAAGAAATGCTCTTAGCATAACCCACAGTCTTTATAAAAAAAAAATAAAAAATAAATAAAATCAGCATCAACATTTTTAAAAGAAAACACACATCTCTTCGCTTAACTCCTTTACGTTGTGATTGACGCTAGGATGAGTCTCCATTGTGTATTCCCCACCCCTCCAAAAAAATACAAAAAAAAAAAAATGGTTTTTAGTCCCTCATGCTTGAGATTTGTGCATAGCACTCATGCCATGGCTTTACTTATGGGCACCTGTATAAAAACAAAAGAAAAAAAAACTGAAACATTTGTAGTTTATGTTGCTTGTTATGTCACATTTATCACGTAGTAGAAATTTTTGAATAACAAAAAGTATGATATATATAAAAAAAAAACAACAAAAAAAAGTAATGTTAAATGTGTAATTTGTTAATTTTGAATCCCAAATCCCTTAAAAGGTGTAGTTGGAATCTGTCTTCAGCGGGACGGGTTGTTTACAAAGACACAATTGGTGCAGATTATGTACAGTTACTTATGTAATAAAGTTGGAAGACTGTTTGTGGAATTATTTTGTCTTTTTTTGAGTAATTTTTTTATTAATTTAAAAAAAAAACTGGATAATAATAAATGATTATTTCTCTTATCAAATCCAATTATTTATATATATCAATATATATATATATATTTATACATTAAGAGATTGCTTACAGTCTCTATTAATATAACCTTATAATAAATTTATCAATAGAACAATATATCAAACACTTAGTTCTACTATAATAACAATAACATTTGAAGTGTACAAAATTACATGAATTTAACTATTATTCAATTATTATATTATATATATTTATGTATATATCAAGACAACATTTCAAATACTAATCTGTATTAAAAAAAAATGGATCCAACTTCAAAAAATTTGGAAGAAATTCGGTTTTTAATAACGATGATAATTAACAAAATAACGTTATTTAAAATTCATTATTATTTAAGTAGATTTAATAATAATTACTTGATTATTTCTCTTTACATCATTAAATACATGTAAATTTAATGATAATAATTAAAAAAGAGAGTATTTTTTTATTTTTTTTTAGAATAATAAACGAAAATATTGGTGAAAATTATCCACGATTCTTCTTCTATAATTTTTTTTCGTTAAGTAAATATTAATATAAATAATTTTTTTTAATTTATTACCTCGGAAATTTTTATATTTAATAAGTGAATAATATTTTCTCTTCCAGTTCTTTTATATATCAAAGTTTGAAAATGAAATTTGGATTTTTGTCGTTCTTCTAGATTATAAGGCATTGGATCAATCAAATATCAGGCCTTAAGACAAAAAACAAACACAAGATGCTTTTATAAGAATTTTTTTTTAAACTTTAGTAAATTAAATTTAACACTGTGTATCTTTAATAATATTTTATAAACGAAAAAGACGAAACAAAAAAAAAATTTTATTTTTTATTATTGTATGGGGAAAATATAGAAGGAGGAAAAAAAACATTAAGTTATATTAGAAAANGTGAATTTACACTTCTAATATTAGAAAATTATAATAATGTAAGTAGGAATATAATTGCATTCGTTATCTGTAAAAAAAATTACAATTTAAGAAACTCTTTACTTATAACACTTCATAATGTCATAAGATAGATTTAATCAATACGTAGTCTATACAGTACTAACCTGAAATATTCGTATAGAAATTTATGGTTTAAGAAACCAAATATATAACCAAATGAGGATAAAATAAGAAAATATTCTTATCTTTCCTCACATATGCTAGACAAACAATATCTGAATACAGAAGAGATTTTTAACCACATCTATTTGTAGTCATTCCACAAAAATCTTCCAATAGATAACAGACTACCATAAAACCCGCAAAATCTGGCTACATAAAGTAAAAAAGAGATAATAATATTTTTCACATGACGTTTATTAAGATTATATACTGCAAATTAGCTTTATACAATCCTTTTTTTTTTATTATTTCTGGTGTGACTTTACTTGTGAAATATGTTTTGTGCCTTTTATTTTTTTTCTTTTGTTTAATTTTTTTTAAAGTCTTCTGTACTTCTAAAAATTACGTATTAAGAAAATTTCATCGACTTAATCCAAAGTTTAAGAGCCAAAGTTGTAAAAAAAGGTATTAAAAACATATCTAACACTAATCTCTTTTATTAAACAAAAATAAAATAATTTTATCTTCATACGCTTCTGAGTTTCGTAGTTTAGGTATTTTTTATCTTAGGAGCATACATTTATATTGCTTTTAAAATTTCGATTTTATTTCAAAAAATACATAAAATTTTTAAAAAATTTTTTATAGTTTCTCTTCTATAATAAATGTATAAATAATATAAAAATATTTATACATTTATTGTGCGAATACATAAAGAAAAATAACGCACTAATTTAGTATCAATTATATCTGTAATATAACGTATTGTTAAAAGTTTTCTATATTACTATTTTATATTATAAAAAAATATATACTGGGCTGAACTAAGAAAACTATAGTTCAATTGTTATATAATATAATTTACATACTAATAGAACTTGACTTAGAACAAGTAAACTAAATCTTGGATACATATCTAACTATGATAGTCGACGTGTAAATTGAATAAGTATATAAATACACGAAATTTTAAATTTATAGTAAACAATATAAATTAAACATTACCAGCTTCTCAAGAGAATCTAGTGATAAATATTACTAATGAAATTATTGACTCTTTTATTAAAGGAGATCCGGATAATAAGTTTTGCCTAAAGGGCGAAATCTCCTTGATCCGGTATTGAATTTTACAAGTTATAAATAAATAAATAAGAAAATTTCTACTAATTACAATTCAGTTTTTTTCTTTTTTAAGAGAAAATATTTAATTATTTTAGTTAAGAATTTCTGAAGAAATTTTCATAACGAATTTATGAAGTAAAAATGGTTTTCATCTAATTAGTTAAGATGAAAGGACAAAGTGAGCAATTAGTATGACATAACGACAATTTTGTTAAATTATTTTTGTTGGAGAAATTCAAAAGTATCTTAATACAGTTGAATTGTTAATCATGTTATTTTGAAAAAAAATAAAAAATTAAAAAACTCTGTAAAACGTGAACGTNAATAGAACGAAAAGAAACCCAATTCATAAGGCTATAGGTCAGAAGAATAGTCCACACCACCCATACGTGGAATGTGGTTGACTCGAAAATCCAAATAAGTTACCTATGTGGTCCAATAAGGTGACCCGGCACCAATAGGCCTACTTCAAGGTTATAAAGTAGTTTTCTACATTTTCATTTGCGTTTTTCATCATCTGACACTACGTATATATAGGGACCCGTGTCATACCGAAAGCATATTCATCGATCACTTCCAATTTGAAGCAGTTGAAGCATGAAGGTAGGAAAACATTAAGTCAATATGGCACTTAAGGATTACTTAGTTATATATAATGGGTTCTACATCAAATTATTTCGTTTATACAGGTACTAGCAATCTTTATTGTAGCCCTTGTGGCTGCAGCATGGGCTGAAGAGGAAGCCAAAAAGACCGAAGAAGTTGTTGAAGTAGCCGAATCTAGATACTACGACGATTACGATGGATACGGAAGTTACGGAAGAGGTTACGGACACCGTGCCCGATACGGACGTGGTTACGATGACTACGGCTATGGAAAATACGGAGATTCCGGACGTTACGGAGACCGTGGATACGGTGCCTACGGCGGACACAAATATGGCCTCTACAAAGGACACGACCGTTACGGAGGACACAGCGGTGCCCACGATCGTTACAGGGATATAGATGCCTACGGTCGTAACAAGGGAGCCGGTTACGAAAGAGCCTACGCTTACGACAAGCAAGCAGCTTACAGGGATCACGCTGGAGACCGTGGCCATTACGGTGGTTACTACGGAGATCACGGAAGACTCGGACACCACAGCCGTGGCCATTACGGAAAATTCGGACACGACCGTTATGGTGGTTACGACAAATACGGTAGCTCCGGTTACGGCAGACGTGGTTACGATCACGGAGATTATGGCAAACACGGATACGACTATGGCAACCACGGTTACGGATACCGCCCACACGGTTATTATGGTACTCGTTATGGTGGTTATTACGGACCTAAGGACTACTACTAAACAATAAAAAAGTACGGGCTTAATTCTATATTTATACTTTCACTATCCAAATTATGACTTTCATTAATGAAATTTTTTATCTTGTTTTTCAGGGTCATCTTCCCATACAGCGTCATCTGCTTCTTGATGTTGTAAATTAATTTATTCAAAATAAATTATTTATTTATTTATGTGAATAATTTTCAAAAATAGAATTTAATAAATTTATAAATTATTTTTTTAAAAAATAATCACCTCGTGTCTGTTATTTTTAAATCACACGAAATATAAACACGCGAAAAAAATTTAAAATTCTTGTTGATTTATTTATTTATTATTTTTAATCAACAATATTTAATCAGTTTAATCAAAATTTGCGAAGTGATTTTTAAAACTACTTTAAATAAAGTTATAAAGTTTTAAAATACGATATAAATAAATATAATATTGATTTCATTCTTAATATTTTCGGTTTTAATGCAAAAAAAGTCTCGAAAAATTAGGAGAAAAATTTTTTCTAATTTAATATTTCTGAAAGATTCATATAAGAAACTCAAATTTTTAAAACTAAATAGTAGTTTCATGAATAAAGATGCATTAAAACTCTTTTTACAATATAATTCGATAAATATAGTCACATGCGAATTATTTATTGAATTCAAAAGTAGAAATATTAATAAGGTTAATTAAATATTACGTTTACACTATTAGAAACAATACGTAAAATTTACTGTATAAAAATGCAGTGTGTTTATATATATAATATATACTGTATTATAATAAATAAATAAATATATATATATATATTTAATTCATTAAGACAGAAAATAAAAATAAACAGTTGCTATGTAAATTAATATTTAAAAATTATTATTAAATATTTTAATTTTGTAACTGTTTAATGATAAATTAGATAAACGAAGATCCTTCCACTAGATTCCAGCTGGAATCTGAAAGCAAATCCTTCCTGCAAGCCAATGAACAATCTCTCTCCGGATATTTAAACCACGTCACTGTGACCTACCAATAGGATTACGGCCCAGCATCCGGATCGAATCCGATCGGGTCGAAAAATTCTAGGAATTTTTCGGGGAGTGGTTCGTCCGGATGTATCGGACCATTCCTTCACCATCCGGCCGTCTAATTGTGGACACGGAACCTATAATGGTCTTGCTAAAAAGGCCCTCTTAGTGTCCACAGAGTGGAAAGAGTTTTAAAAAAAAAGCAGTTATTTGTTTCTTGCAAAATTCTTAAAACTACACATTTGTGTTGGAGTTATATTTTGTGACATTAATAATAATTATTATTCGTTTCGGCAGATACCCAAATATAGGAATTCACGGTACCGGTACGCTGTTTTTTCTCTTTCGTTTGCGGACAATTGTCTATCTTGTTACATAACAAAATGCAAGCCACAGAAGAAGAATGAGGATGCCAAAAAATTTATACATGGCCTGGGCTTTACCTCTATATTTATATTTAAAAAAAGTAACAACTAATGCATGGCAGCAATTGTTTACTTGAAGATATATAAGCTTTTAAAATGAATCGGGATTCTAAATGGATAATTCCCTGAGATTCTTCAAAAATACCGAGAAAATCATTTTGAAAATGTACGCAACGCGCTATCTCAATTTATTTTTTATTTTTCAATTTCTTTGTATTAAAAAGCTACCATAATAGACCAAGACTTGCTACTATTCTCCCAGTCAAGAATAACAAGCATAAGTTTTCGAAGGCCTACCAGAAGATTTGCTGATCCTTCAAGTAGGCCTCATGTCTAATCTATGGTTAAAATTCGTATGTTTCATAATACTTTATACAAATTCAATAATCGGCTTATTTCCTTACATCTAAATAAAATATTCTAAATGTTTTAAGGAATTTTCTTCCGATTTTTAGTATTTTAAAACTAAAGTTTCTCTCTTTTATTGGGTTGTAATTCCATGGTGTTTGATAAATCCTACTTGTATTTCTGGAAAATGTCATGGATTTCAATTATATTAGAAGAGAGTCTCTTACTAAAAAAAATATATTTTGGAAACATTAATACATTTATAGAATATATCATAGCTTTATTGTAGAGTATTGAATACAATTAATTAATAGGTAATTTCAATTTCTATTCTCCAATTGTTTACTGAAATTTAATTGACAGTTTATCACTAAGTGAAATTATTTTTCCGTTTTAACGTATTACTAAGTGAATCGTTTATTGGTATTCAATATTATAAATGGATTCGGAAATCTTCGTAAAATTACTTATTTAGATCTTTAATACGAAAATGACAAAATTATTATATTTCTAGAAAAGAAAGATGCTTGATTATTTTACTGATAACAAAGAAAAGCAAATTGTTAGCTGAAAAAAATTTAATTATCATAAAAAAAATTATTTTTTCCTCCATTATTTAATTCGGCAAGTTATTTTTGATTAATATCTACAGATAAAAACTGTAAGATTATTAATCTTCAATACGTATAAAATTCTAAGTATATTTCATAGAAAAAAATTAAATAAATAAATAAAAATTCAATTATAAAATAACGGAAATTTTGTTCCGTGACAAAATGAATACATATTTGATCACGAATAAGTAATATTATTAAAGAAGTAGACGGGAAAAATATATACAAATACATATATAAATTCGCAGTAATGTATATCTACTGGAAAATTTTTCCTTTAAATCCGTTTATTAATTTAGGAAGAGGGAGAGAAAAAAAAATCGAGTTTACCTTTAATAATCCTTTTAAGAGAAAAATGCAAAACGAGCTTTTAAAAAACAGAATAATTTAGAATTTCCATATAATAAAAATTATTATTCGCATCAATCTCTCTTTCCACTTTCTAATCGAACATGAATCATTTATAAGATTGGTAAAATTCATGATCCACCAATAATAAAGAAAGATTTAATATTAGGGATTTTTTTCTCCCTCTAAATATATATGAAAGGAAAAAAAATAAAAGATAAGAGTAGAAAATCCTCTCAGAACTATTACTAAAGATACAAAAATGCAATTTGAAGACTTAATTTCTAATGAGTTTTGCTTTATGCATTTGGATATCTTTATGAGTAATCCTTTGTTTTTATTCGTGTGTGCAGGAACCATAAATGATTGCTTGACTAAACAAATTTTAATATATTAGATGGGAATAAATTGTCGTTCTAACTTAATTCTTTTCTTATAAAAGAGAATTTAAAAGAAGAGAATGAAACAATAAATAAATAGAGGACAAAATTATATCGAATCTCTCTCTCTTTACTGATTGATATTATTTGTTAAAATATTATTATTGATTGGAATGTATTGGTTTTTATTTCTAACTGTTATAATAATATCTAGGGATTTTTTGGAGTTTGTAGAGATTATAGGAGATTTTTAGGGATTTTTAGAGATTACTGAAAGTTCCGAAAGATACTCGCTGAATATGGGACTTTATTGAGAAGTTTGAAGATTAGGAAGGATTTTAAAAGATTTGAAAGTAATGTAGGGATTTTGAGGGAAATTCTTCTAAATTTTGTGAATATATCCAGTCTGTAAATGTTTAACTTTCTAGAGAAATTTCGATCAACTTTTAGAAAATTATAAATTAAATATTAAAAGAAAAAATATGTTATATTTTTATACATTGGAAGTAAAACATGTTAAGTATTAACAATTTAAAATTGAATTTAGAAACTTTATTTCATGTTTTTACTTTATAATAATTTTTATTAAATAACACAAATAAAATTTTAAAAAAAGAAATTAAAATGAATATAATAATATAATAAAAAACAAAATAAAAAATTTTTAACATTTAGCTTAAAATATTAGTCATGCTTTTCAATTTTGACCTTTATTTGACATTTTTAAATGATATTTTTAAAACTATAAAAATAAATAAATATATATATATATATTTAATTCATTAAGACAGAAAATAAAAATAAACAGTTGCTATGTAAATTAATATTTAAAAATTATTATTAAATATTTTAATTTTGTAACTGTTTAATGATAAATTAGATAAACGAAGATCCTTCCACTAGATTCCAGCTGGAATCTGAAAGCAAATCCTTCCTGCAAGCCAATGAACAATCTCTCTCCGGATATTTAAACCACGTCACTGTGACCTACCAATAGGATTACGGCCCAGCATCCGGATCGAATCCGATCGGGTCGAAAAATTCTAGGAATTTTTCGGGGAGTGGTTCGTCCGGATGTATCGGACCATTCCTTCACCATCCGGCCGCCTAATTGTGGACACGGAACCTATAATGGTCTTGCTAAAAAGGCCCTCTTAGTGTCCACAGAGTGGAAAGAGTTTTAAAAAAAAAGCAGTTATTTGTTTCTTGCAAAATTCTTAAAACTACACATTTGTGTTGGAGTTATATTTTGTGACATTAATAATAATTATTATTCGTTTCGGCAGATACCCAAATATAGGAATTCACGGTACCGGTACGCTGTTTTTTCTCTTTCGTTTGCGGACAATTGTCTATCTTGTTACATAACAAAATGCAAGCCACAGAAGAATGAGGATGCCAAAAAATTTATACATGGCCTGGGCTTTACCTCTATATTTATATTAAAAAAAGTAACAACTAATGCATGGCAGCAATTGTTTACTTGAAGATATATAAGCTTTTAAAATGAATCGGGATTCTAAATGGATAATTCCCTGAGATTCTTCAAAAATACCGAGAAAATCATTTTGAAAATGTACGCAACGCGCTATCTCAATTTATTTTTTATTTTTCAATTTCTTTGTATTAAAAAGCTACCATAATAGACCAAGACTTGCTACTATTCTCCCAGTCAAGAATAACAAGCATAAGTTTTCGAAGGCCTACCAGAAGATTTGCTGATCCTTCAAGTAGGCCTCATGTCTAATCTATGGTTAAAATTCGTATGTTTCATAATACTTTATACAAATTCAATAATCGGCTTATTTCCTTACATCTAAATAAAATATTCTAAATGTTTTAAGGAATTTTCTTCCGATTTTTAGTATTTTAAAACTAAAGTTTCTCTCTTTTATTGGGTTGTAATTCCATGGTGTTTGATAAATCCTACTTGTATTTCTGGAAAATGCCATGGATTTCAATTATATTAGAAGAGAGTCTCTTACTAAAAAAAATATATTTTGGAAACATTAATACATTTATAGAATATATCATAGCTTTATTG